ACTTCATCGTAATTCACACATGCCAGACAGGGACATGTGAAAGAGACTTATTTGTGATGCTGTCATGCTGCTTAGCCATCAGAAACTACTCTAACTTTCAAAATAAACTTTCACATTTTCTTTAAAATGACTTTTTTCTCATATTTTTCCTGACTATGATTTAGCTCAGGAATTTGGATGTGACGGACAGGAATAACCGGTCTTATGTCACAGCTTTCTAACATTTGCATTATAGTGGGCAGCACTGGTTCTGCAGCCATTTTGGGTCTTTTCTTTTGCCTTTTCACATCTTTGTGATGCACTGGCAGGTGAAATGACACAGACTTGATTTCCCGGTTTGTATAAAACTACATCACCAGCAAGCCTCGCCTGTCTTTATGCGGTTTTGTTTCAGGTATCTGTGTTGAATACTAATATGGAAATAAATATTTTAGTAGTTATCTAAAAATCTAAATGCAATGGAAAAAGTGCTTTGTTTTCCTTTGAACTTTGTCGAGAGATTAAAAAAACTTTGAGACTCAGCAGAAACATTCACTTGGAGAAAACCAGAACTTTACATTTGAAAGCGACTGGACTTGCTTAGTATATGAACTTTAAACAAAGTGCACCGTTGTGTGATTGCGTGCTGCTACATAAGCATCTGCTCTTTGGCTGAGCTTTGGGCAAACTTGTTATCACACTGGGTTGAAGATGAATCTTTCTGCTTCACGCACTGCATCTCACCAACTCTGGAACAAATTAGTGTGAAATGAAGACTCCAGCCATATTGCATCAGGGCTCCATCTTCTGCCGGGCTGCAAAAAGATGATAAATGATAGATCATAGCTTCCTTATGTGCCATAGCTGGCTAACATGGCGAACTGAGCTGTGATAAGGATGAGTGACACGGGGAGAGGTCCAGCACTACGTTACTTTGATTGAAAATTGAGGGTTTTCTGTATTTAGAAGGAAAAAAAAAAAACATGAAGGCTGCCACTTTTTCTTCAAAGTGCGGGCATCTGTTTGAACGTTGGGAAACTTTGAACATCAGTAACCTTTTTGAATTAAAAAGTTTCAGCCTCTAAGTGCTTTTGATCAAAAGCTGCATAGATGGAGGCCTCTGACCATTAAAACTGTTTTATATTGTCACCCAGGAGAGGGGGCTCTAGTACAGCCTTGTCTTGGTACGTCCTCTGATAAACGCCCTGTCTTGTAATTTACTGCTTTTTGCTAATAGCTAAAGTCTTCCATCCTAAGTGGGGCTGTTTACGGGCTTTTTACAAACCAGATATTTTAATCCAAGACAACAAACCTGCAGAATCTTGATTTTATTTGAAGCATCATTTGGAGTTTTTAGCCAAAGAAAGCAAAAACTAAGAACGCAATACTGCTCTTAAACTGATGTAATGAGGATTTTTCCAGCATCCAACAAATCGTGACACATTTTAACATTTTCTATACTTGACCTGATTGGATTAAACTAGCTCCTTTAATGAAAACGTCCATTTTAAAAATGTCTATTTAAAGACTACTAAGTTGAACAAATTAGTTCATGTCCATAATGATGTCTTTAATCATGATCTGAAGATGTTTTGGTGATATTTTCCGAGTTTCAGTGGTGTTGCATTTTAGGATTTCTCCGCAGTGGGTTTGTGTTCAACGGCTTATGTTCTTTTTTCATCATTATTTTCAATGCAACACGTTTTTGAACGCACAGCCGCAGTCAGACACACTGTGTAAAAAAAAAAAAAAGCCCTCTTTCATTATCTGACCACACCAAAGCAGCACAAAGCATCTCTTTCATTCTCAAATGAGAATGCATGCTCTAAAGCTGATATATCTGCTGTATGTCAAAATTGATGGAGTAAATTGGCCAATCAGTTAACCGACTGGCCTCCAGCTCCTGTGATGTATAGTTCATTATTTCATTTTGTTCTCACAGGCAGCTAATTTCACTTTGATGCCCAGTGGCTCTGTCTCTTTCTGTCTCTGTCAGTGCCGCATGTAACTGGATAGTAATTACTGATTATTGTTCACTCTTTTCATGGGGATATAGTCACAATTCTGCCCGTGGAGGACAGGATTAATGGAGCTAATTCAATACCAGCGTTTAGACAGTCATGGTCAGTTTGGTTTTATTTGTTCCCTTTCAGAAATCAGAATGGCGGCAATTAAATCTGTTTGGGTACTTTTTGTCATTGTGAAACGCCACTTGAAGAATAGTAATCAGAAAATGGCTGACTTGTGTTTCAAGGTGAATTGCTTGGATTACGGCGCAGCAGCTCAACC